ACGGACGCACACAGGGCAAAACATAAGTCCCCGTTTTCGGACTGCGTCCGAACGGGGACTAAAAAACTAAGAAAACAGGGAGCTATAATACAGGAAGAGAAACACGAGCGATTAGTCGAACAACAGGCATTACGGCAGCCATGTTTGTTTCACCTCGATCAATACAATATTACCCACAATGCAATATTCCCATAAGCGTGGGTGTCTGTAAGTTCATAGCCAAGCGTACTGCGGTCAAAAACAAGGTAAGAAATTACATGACAAGACCATCCCTATTTACCGCCGAGTGTAGACACAGTAGTAGACATAATCCCGATGGCAATAGGAAGTTCGAAGGAAGCTAATACGTTGATTTATAACAGACGAAGTAAATGAAAATCACTTTTCAGTCTAGTTGAGGCACAAACGTAAATGAGGTGGTAAACAAGAGACGATGGCAACTCCACGTTGTGGCAGATTTACACACTACTACAGTTTACAAACACCATGGTCAGTCACACAAGGTCCCCCAAATTCAAAATGGATTATAAATGCGTTGGGGAACACGAGACGAACAATTGTGCATACTTAATGACGACTCCACGTTAATAATGCAGTGTGAAAATGGTAATTTAAACTTTGCTTGCAGATTTTCCCGGGCAGATTTACATAATACTACAGTTCGATAACACTGCCAGTCACACAAAGTCCATCAAAAGGGAACTGCAAGTTGTATAATGCCCAAACAGTACCATGATTTCACAACTTTCGAATACGTTCGCTTTTATCGATGTCCACTGTACACCAGTAAATGTCTTCCCGTTTGCAAGAACACAAAGCCTAAACTATCAGAAAGTCATAACACATAATTCGAGTGGTGGTTTAACAAAAATAACTCATTTGTTAATTCAATCCATCGAAAAGTACAAAAAACATTTTCACAAACGATTTTTATTATATCAATACACTTTGAAAAGAAACAAGATTCATAAACATAAATCTATTTGAATACATTCTCACAAATTACTTATTTTCTAATGGAGTTTCATCACAGCACAAACTTTGGAATCATGCACACGTGCGAGTACTTCGGTGACACATTTTATAGCTACGCCCAAAATAGTCCATTATTTGTTGTGCAACTGTGACCAAAACATTCTGTTAACATCCACACATTTTCATAAAATCTCCATGCACTTTTTGACCTTTCATAAGTAAAATACACTACAATTTACTCCAGAAAAACAATTTTTGGTACATTCCTACATTCTTGCATATAAATGAGGGTTCAGACACATTCCAAGCTGAACAATTTTCTTGGACTAATAACAAAGCTGGTCAATCCTTTCCCAGCAATACTATAGATAGAAGGCACTTTTAATAGAGCAAATATGGCATAATGTTTCATACACGACATGGCTATTAAGAAAGGAAGGTGTACTTACTCTAAGTAATGGCTGTGGCCATTCTACAATTGGTTTACCACTGGCAGCTAAAACTGGATCATCATTTGCATGATCTCGTAACAATTGCTGTAAAAAAAGAATAATTTAAATAAATCTATTCAAAATTACAAATTAGACGTTGATAATTGTAATGATTTGAGGCGATGACGTTTAGTTTAGTTATTAGCATAATGATATTGATACATTGTATGGAACATCTGGTGAGTATTTAGACTCAGTTCCAGGTCTAGCAGTTGAGCAATATACACCTTGGCTACAAGTGCTCCTCTCCAGTGCGTTATTCTCCTCCCGGATTTGGTGACCAATACTCACTTGGTTCACTCTACCTTGAGAAGTCTGTTCTCAGTTTACAATGATGTACAATAGGGCTGTCAGTGTTCTCACTATAATAGCATTTTTGTTGCACAAGACATAATTGCAATAAATGGGATTATACAACTCTCTGGATAGTTTTTAAGGTCAATAGAGTACATGTGTTATGGCATGGTTTGTGGTTGGGGTTGTTACAATTAAAATTATATACCCATTGCATACCGGTACTAGTATTTCTATTACATTTAGCAGCATATATCAAACTATACACACCTAAACTACATCATTAGTTTTAACGCTTTAATATGGCTGGCCAAGAGTAGCTCATCGATTTTCTTTTATCAACAATTAACGAATATTAACATTATAATGAAACGTATCATTGTTGATTACATAGTCCCTTTATTGTATCCGACAGATTGACAATCGATGACGCAAGCTGAGAAGAACAGTCAATCAAAATTCATTAAAAACATAAAATTGGCATGCACATGCAAACCACTATTGAACCAGTATTGGACAAGGAGCGTCAGAAAATGGCCAACAGTTGGCCATTTTAATTCAAATCATAAACTAAAACATGCAACATAAACCAAATCTATCAAGGGTGATGTTTGTATAGCGTTTTAATTAAATCAGCCGAGGCATGATAATAAACTTGATGACCTGTTGAAATATTTTGGCAAAAATCGGCAAATTAGTATTTTGGGGACAAAAAAGCTGCTATTTGGTGGAATGTCATTGAATTTAAAAAAAAAATATTGTTCATATACATGCATGTATATTATTGTGTCTAGTCAAAAAATGATCACGCCATGTCCGAGAAATGATATGAAGGCAGACAACCTCATCTCAAAGGGATTTGAAGTCTGAAAGAAAATCTATTCTTAGTTGAACAATCATGTTAATGTGTGTGAAGATTACTTGTACCTTGATAGATAATTAGAATGGAAATCTATAGGGGAAACAATTCATTTGTTTTATTTATGAATAAAACAAATATTTGTATCTGAAAAGCGCGCCAGAATTACAATTTTTTTTTTTTCATACTTATCAAATGTTATTACATGACAATCCCCAATTAACTACATTTGCTGCAAGGTGAATAAAGACTTTAAAGGAGACTTATTATCTTTGGAATTAGACGCAGACACTTTGGTTGGTAAGCAACCCAAGTGTTCACAATGCCAGGTCTAAACTTTTCACCACCAGACTTTCAGTCCAAGATTGTTCTGCACATCTTTCTTGTACTCTTCAATATTTTTGGAAATTAACCCTAACTTTGGAGCCAACAAACAAAATTCAAGTCAATTTTCTGTTTTTACTAAAAAAATTTGTCTATTTTTGTCCCAATCTTCTGAAGGTTAAGTGCAGACTACTGGTATAAACTGAACTACCGTTATTTTGTGAATTTGTGATGAAAAGAGGGAACTGGTGGTGGAAAGGTTAAGGCATAGTGTGACAGACCCCAAAATTAGCAGCAGCCAAAACAAAAAGTACCAGTTAGTAGCCAAACTGGACTTCTAGTAATATTTATATTAAAATAACAAAATCTGTGTTGTCCTAAACAGAGTGAGAGTTGATTATTTCTAAGTGTGAAAGACACGCACGCACACACGCACGCACCAGAAACAAAATACAAAATTTGATGTAACTTTAATTATTACAAAATTGGAAAGTGTTAAATTAGTCTTAAAATAAACCAATCTGCACATTATTCGCTGATACATGTGCATGAAAATACAAAATAAAAAACATTATTTGCGGCTCTATACCTAGAAAAATACAACTGTTGCTAAAAAAATAGAATGTAATAATATTGTTTATATTAAATAATGCTAGACAAAGGCCTATTGTTCAGTCTACAAATAGAACACTAATGATAGCCGTGTCCAGTGATTGGCCATAGTTCATTGGCCGTCTGACATCCAAGGTTACCATGGAAATTCACTGAAAAATTGTGGATAAAACGAGGTTCCTACAAACACTATTCAAACATAATTGTTTTAGGAAACAAACTCAAAAATGTTATTATCGATAAAAGACAAAAAAAAATAAGTCATTGAAAATGACACAGTCCCTGTTAAGTTCTCTTTGTGCTCGTCATATTAAAGTGGAGGGGTTGTCGCGAGCATGTCCTTGAAACTTGAGTTCCAAGTGGCATATACAACAGATTGTTTATTTACATCAAAACACGCGTTTCGTGTCATAGTAATATGGCCAAAATAAAAACAGCCGTTATTCAGCCATCTTTGATCTGATTATGAAACACACTGATATGTATGATGTATGTGCCAAATACGAATGAAAATGGTACATAAATTGTGGAAATATAGTAGTAAGGCCAAAAAGTCAGATGGCTGTCAATCGGCCATCCTTGACCAGATGTTGAAACAAATTGTCATGGACAAGCATCCTAACCTGTATAAAGTACATGTATGTGCCAAATTTGAATGAAAACTGACAGAGCACGTCCAAGATACCGCATAAAAAAACAAAAACAAGATGCCTGCCAGTCGACCATCTTTGATCCATCATGGACATGTATCCTAACATGTATAATCTATATACCAAGTTTGAATGAAAACTGACAAAGCATGTCCAAAATACAACATTTTCAAAAAACAAGATGGCTGCCAGTCGGCCATTTTGAATCGAATCGCTAAACCACTGCATGTGCATATGTCCCACATAAAGTACTAGGCACATGCAAAGAATGTACGGAATCGGTCCAAGGGATTCTGAGATATGACTCGTCCGAACGGGGACTAACAACCTGATGATTTGAGGTAATAACTGTTGCTGCAGTAGAAAAGGACAATTACAAATGTAGTTTTATTCAATTTCGAAGTAGAATTTGATTATTCATTTGATGACTTCTAAAAAGGTTCAAACCAAACTGAAGATTATATTTTCATTATGTGTTCATGCAATGAAATTAGAGTGGTCACAGGTCAAAAATTATAAGGAAAAATTGTAAATTTTGTTTTTGCTTCATGACACAAAATGAAAAGCCTTAAGTCATAAGCCGCCTACTTTTAAATAAATACTCGGAAAATAATACACAAATGTACAATTCAGCCACCTGTTTTCTTGACTGAGCCTTCAAGTCAAAATCTTTACATTACAATACAGAATAGAAATACTCATATCCAATCAGTTACATGTTTGTATGCTCATTGTGTAACCCTTCCTGTATCACAAATGCATAGCCAATAAAAGGGGCACCGGTAATGCAAGTATAATTGTCTTGATGTGCAGGAGCACCTATCAAAGCTGGACGTCTACCAACACATGCAACACAGGAATTGTACAAAATACACAAGTAATTCAAAACATGGTATTGGTAAATTTTCTAAAAACCATCATGACATATCTCACTGTAGTATCATAATGCTTCTAATGATTTAACCATAAATCAATAATCATTTCTGGAAGAGACCTAATTGTTAGAACCAAAATTACACTTTTTGAATGGTTGAATTTGAGCAAGTAGTTGTAGAAATAAAGAAACAGAAAAAGTAATTAAAAAGAACTCTAGCTACAACAAGTGTTTTTTGTCATAGGTGAAATCTAATATCTCCCAAAATCACACAACCGAATAAATAGAAATATTACGGTACCATAAATGTCAATTTAACACTGCGCAAAAATATCAATCCTGACTGAAAGTATACTCAAATATTCATCAGTAAAACGAAAATTAAAGTTACTATTATGAAATGTAAAAATCTGAAAGGGCTCCCTAGGCACCTGCATGTCAAATAAAAAAAGCAATCTGTCTTATAGTATTCAAAGAGAAAATGAAAAAGTGAAAGTTGACTGATGGCTGACAACAAACAATCACGACGACACTTGGTCATCTTTAATGATGAAGCTAAAAAGATCTATTGTCATTTTTCTGGAAATAGCATTGCTTTACAATACGAGATGTTCTGCATGAGAGGTTCAAATTAAGGTCTGCTAAAAATTTATGTTAGGGCAGGAAGGAACTGAGATTTGCAAATGTATTTTCTCAAAATATCCAAATGTAATTTTAACATGATTAAACTCTGAAATGATTTAATTTCTGTAAACAAATTCATAAAATTCATTATCGACAGACAATAGAAGAGTTTCCAGTTCTCTGGCATGTTTCATGGTTGCCATGTTACAAAATGTGGTCGCAACTGTAAGTGGCAAGATCGTTTAACTCAGTTTTTCGTAAGTTGAATACCGGTATACACGCCTGTATATTATATCCCCAGAAATATTTTACAAATATATGGTAGGTAACAAAAGGAAATGAACAATATTTTGTTCATATTCACTTTAAGCGTATGAATGTAAAACAAGTATTCTATATTTTAGGAAAGGTTTGTGAAGATTAAGAAGCAATGAAGAGGACTAAAACAGATAATCAAGAAAACTAAAACGGGTTTTGTAAAATAACTGCCTAAAACTGCGCATTTATGCTGCCTGGAAGTGAATCCTCTTTCATTGATAGTAGCTAAGCAACGAGGAAAAAAACAACCCGTCTTGTTGATGTATTTTTATTTAATTTCTAAGCTCAATGAGAAAATACGACTAGATTTATGCGGTTCCATTACAGAAGAATCTCAAAGGATATTATATTGTACAAATTAAAACAAGTTTCAAATCAATTGATGACAAGAGGTCAACAAAAAGGAAATTTCACCAGCAAACCATGAATTTTAATTACTGTTTTACAAGTTTTCAGGATTGCAAATTATCCTTGTAAAACCTCTAGAGAGTTGAAATTAATTTTTTGGAGTTTAACATTTTAACCAAGCATTAAACAAAATGGAGCTTATGATGCATGTCAAACTGAAACATAATAGGATGCATTGATTTGAAATGAGTGAAATTAATATAGAAATGTGAAATTAATATAAAAATGTGAAATTAATATAGAAATATATGAATTTATTTCAATATTGGGTGTGCTGCCAGGTTGACCTAATTCTTTTCAAGTAATCATAAATGGAGGAAATTATACACATGAGATTTTCTATGACTACCTGGTATCACTAAAATGACATGACCAAAGCTAGAATTACCAGTAGTAATAGATTGAGAAACAGTCGTACACTACCTACTACAACAAATTCATTGTAAATCCACAGGCATCAAAAAAATGACACCAAAACATAAGGGAATAAAATTTTAACGAAATATCAAATAGAAAACGTCAACAATCTGCCAATATTCAAAACGCGCTGAAAATCAATGAAATTTATTAAATACATTTTCTGCAATTTGCACATTTATTTTTCAGTCTATTCATACAATTAAGTTATAGTCCCAAAAGAATGAAATCTCAGTCTAACTTTAAACCAGTTTTTCCACTGAGATAAAATGTTTCTAGCTATATGTATCTCAGAGAATTAATTCAATTCACAAGGTGGCATCCTTACAAGTTATTTTCAATACAACAGTGAAACATAATTATCCCATTTATCTATTAGCTTGAACATTAATAATTAATGAAGGAGGCCCTCTTGGCGTATAGCAACCCAATCAAAACAAATGAAAATTCAAGCCTTGCATCCAAGCTAAAGCGGGTTATTGTATGACCTGATAAAGTCCATGAATGGTTTTGCCTTTAAGGTCTGTTGTGCAGGGTCATCCATAAGCCATCGTTGCATGGAGTTATTGCGAAATATTCATGTAACAACTAAAGTTGTTGTTTTTTTCGATAAAATCAAAAGCACACATGCCATAGATACTACATTTTGTACATACAATTCTGCTCTCATTCACCGAGAAGTACAAGAAATTAAGCACTTCTGATTTGAAGTTAATTATTTTTTGTAATATCATAATGGCAGCCAAACATGTAACTAATAATAAATATTTTAATTTTCTCATTAATCGAAACTCCATACAATGTAGTTACTGAATACCTAATTTCAAATTAGTCAAAACAAATGATGAAAAAAATGCTTGAAATTTGGACATTGAAGTGGCAATGTACGTAGGATACTAGTATTCAAAATGGTGGCTAAACCATGCGACTGATGATAATTATTTTATTTCTCATTTTAAGTTTGGCTCATACATGTTACATGCATAATATCAGGTTGATTGGTTAAATCACTCAGAAGAAGCAAATTCCAACAATTGTGGCCATTTTTGCTGGCAATCCAAGATGGCACCAAAACCATTAATTGATCTGAATTACATTTTTCATGCATATCAAAACATCATATTTGATCAGTTAAAACACTCATGAGAATCAAATGGCCCATATTTTGACCTTTTCTGATGATAATCCAAGATGACAGCCAAACCACATTGATCAAAATTATTTTCAGTTTTTTCTGGGAGTGATGTTTCACATGCTTGTAAAGTGAGAATACAACTTTAATGGGAAGTGCTTCACATTGAATAGTGATTATGTGATATGGTCCATCTTTAAAAGTCTAACAGAAAATACTTCATGGGACTTTGCAACTTGACACCCTGAAAACATCCCCAAGTAAATCTACAGAAATACTAGTAAGAACCATCCAACCTTGCAAATACTGTAATAGTTGCATTAATTGTAACACTTGTATTACTTCGCATGCCAAAGGCTCCCAATAAAATACTTTAAATGACTTATTCCAGTAAGTGAATGTTGTTACGAAGTGCACCAATATTTTCTCCTATACTCTAAAATAACTAATTTTTACTGGGTTTAAATTTCGTGATTTTAATACCATTTCAGGCATATTCAGTGGGTTTTAAATCCCGGTTTTATCATTTAAATAATGTGTTCGATGCTAAATTTTACATATTCACTGGATTTTAATTTAGCGCATTTTCCAGACAGCGAAATAAGCAAAATTAAAACCCAGTGAATAATTAACCCCCTTTACAGTATATTAGTAAAAGCTTAATTAAGCAGTGAAATTTCACATGAATCCTTTGACACTGTCAGTCAGCGGATTTCGCGCAATTTATCTTCTATCAAATTCCTAGTAGCTAAAATTAAGCAGTTTATAGAACACTAATAGACACATGTTGAATAAAATGCCAAGATTAGTTTAATAATAAACTCTAAAAATCATAAATGTGCATCAACATAAAATGTAACATAATACTAGCAGCAATATAGGATTTCCACAAATTGATTTTTAATACCGAGAATAGATTTTTCATGGTTTATTTTAGCATCCATAATCAAAAAAGCCTGGTATCCTGATTGTTCAATGGAAAAGAACTGTCAATATATACAGCTGTGTTCAGTCAGCATATCAATTATTCACAATGTTTGAATTTCACTCGGAGTGAATAAATACACCAACTTAAAACAAAGGTAATCAGCAAGACAAGTGATGCTATTTCCACTGATCCAACAAACAAAATGCATGAGAATTGATAGCTATTGCTGTTGGGAATTTATTACTTCACTGACATTAATACACACAAGAGATAAAAACTAATATCGTGGATCAGATTGAGGAGATAATTGTACTAAATGAAACTACATATAGAGGAGTTTCATGATGTCGTGTTGCACGGCTATCAGGCATGCCACAATCTCCATCTTATAACCAAAGAATGATGCATTTTCAGTCAGTTTCTACTGAACATGTTGATTTTGCATTGTAGGCATGAAAGTTTCCAAAATGTTTGTAAATATCAAAATATATATTTTTTCAATCATACACAAGCAGGAAACAATTTTGTGACACCTTTGATTCAGTACTTTCATCCTAAAACATCTTTAACAGCTGAGGATATCAGACTGGGAAACAAATGTTATAAAAATCGACCTCAAAAGCGACATGTGATTAGTAACGCAGGAGCTTAGGGAGCTTGTTTCTTAGCAATAACTGCCACATGATTAACGCTTGGATAACTCACCTTGGTATCTTCCAGTAGACCATCGGGGTCATTCAATCCTTCAGGTACATGTCGTTTATTCGAAGGAAACGCTTCTAACCTATCCACCACTGCTTCCAGTCCCTGCATTTCATCTTTTGTCAAATGCAGAGGTTCTTTTTTCACAACTTCATTCTCAGATTTCTCCTTTCTGCAGGCATCATCATTCTTACTGTCATTTTTGTTCCTCCTCTCTTTACCATCCACACTATTTTTATCGTCAGTTTCAATACCTGAAGATTTACTTCTCAGCCTGGGAATTCTTGGTGTATGGTTACTTTCCCCAATCTTCCCCTCTGCCTTTCCCTCA